AGACTATTATATATTTCATACTTCTTGACATTCCAAAAGTAGCAAATTATGGTTTAATTAAAATAAATGCTTTTGAGTTTGAGTTTATAAAAAGAGCTGTAAAATTGTACCAGACATAATAAACATTTCAATTAATATCCATATCGATATAAAAACAAAATGACCAAATACTATAATATTTTAGACATTTATACAATATCAAAAACACAAAGAAAACATTCCATTCGCACGGTAAGACAGGACAGACAACAGGAACTGATTACTTTTTCTTCTGAAAAAGAATTGTCAATATATTTGGCGAGTTGCCGTCTGACTGTTTGCGCTTACAAACTGGACTGAAGTGGGTCAATACATTATTTATAACAGACACGTCAGTGTTGCAGCGACTGTTGCGACAACGTTCGCAATAAGAAACTTTGTTGCTGTAACGTGTTACATGTTAAGTTGCGCTACAAAGATTTTGGGTGAACGAATACACACACATTCATTCGACGTTTATTTAATTAAGATTGCTTTGTTGTTTTCTGACTTTGTTTTGCATTGTTGTGTCCCAGATAATAAATTAAACAATACTTAAAGGGCTTTGTTAGACAGTAAATTCAAGCGCAAGGATTATAGTGTTATTAGAATAAAAGCACTAGTGAAAGCTAATCCAAAACAAACATCACTATCCTATAGCCTATCCTATCAGTCACTCAATACTTCTAAAAAACTAACAAAAACCCAAAGAAATGTCTCATAACTTTAAGGTTATGCAATGAAACGTGATCACAAAAGAAACACGACGCAAGAAACAATTTAAACAAAATTGCATGACTAAAGATGATTTCTTTCTCAAAGTATGCAATAAATATCCTTTTATAGTAAGAACATAATATGCAACTTTATCTTAAGCTGAAATAAAAACCCTCTCAACTTTACTCTGGCATCCAACCTGTTGTCGGGGTTTAAGCTATATTTTTAAAAAGAAAATGTAAAAGGAAATGCTTTTGCATTTCAATATAGCTAAGAATTGTTAGTGTACAAGGTCGAAACGATTGTTTTAATTTTAAAATCTTTGAGAATCGACTTAGACCACTTAAAAACAGAAGACTGAATGAAAACATCACTTGTAGAAGGATAAATGATGATTCAAACACAAAAATCGTATGGATACAACTGTAAACAAAGTCAATACACTCATGAAGAGATGAAAAACCTAGCTATTACGCAACTAACACCACATTGGATGTGTTCCAACGGAACAAAGCCGGGTTTATTACACGTAAATCATTCTTTGTGAGGAACTAATTGCTGAGGATGCATCCTCACACCGTTTTTAGATCATACATGATCATAAAACGTCTGTTTACGAAATGAATATTATGGAATACCACGAAGGCTCTGCAGCTCCGCTTATTACGTAATTCAGAGTTAGTCTGAAGTTTTAAAGTGAGATTAAAAACATGAATTCAGGCCGAGGTTGCTGTGTCCGATTTGCCATGCGAATGTATTGGCTGGATCGATTTAATTGACGCATGACGTATCTAATCTTGATTCTCGATTGTCTGTCAGTGAAAGTCTTCTATAAGAGTAATTTTAAAATCATAACAAAAAATAATTTTGATATAATTATTGTTGGTTTTACCGATGGATTTTCCTTTAAGAATATAATAACTAAATTGTGTTAGAAAGTTGGAGCAATCATAGATAATTTATTTTCGATTTTTATTCAGAACTGACTGCTTGGAATACCTCGTTTACAAAGCCTTTATTAGTGAAACTTAGCAATAAATACCAAGTAATTTTAAAGCTCCCCTAGAGATTTATATTTCGTGGAAAACACATTTCCTCTTGGAGGAAATAAAGAGGAGAGAGTGAGTCCACTTCTCACGACATATTTCATTATTCTCATGAGAAAATACGTAAACACACCTAGATTAAGGAGGCAGTCATTAATGTTCATTAAATAAAACTAAATTTAATTGAAATATTTATGTTCATTACTCGGAGGCGAGAAAAGTTTTTTATTACAGACTATAAGTTTCGCTGAGGACGAATTATGTATACACGTTTCTTATAAATTTATTAATTGAGTTCTTGAACTGTTCTTAATAGAAAAACAAGTGAGGAATCACCAATAACAAGAGGTAAGTGCAATAATAAATAGATTTAAGTTTAATATCAGGGTCTTCAGAGATAGGCTTAGGTAGACCTAAGTACGATGAATTTACCATACCTTTTAGAACTCCCATTATAGGGAGTAAATAGCCTACAAATAATACTTCAATTTCAATACCCTTCCAATATCTTATTCACAACAATAATGAAATATGCAAAACGTCAGAGACCTGTGCATTGGAGTGCAACACTTAACTATTTACGGCCAAACGGTTTACAGTTCTGTTCATGCTAAGGTTTGAGATGTAAATCGCGATCTTTGACGTCAATGCGCAAGAGTGCGCCAACTAAAACCGAACCACATAATGGCCGGTGGCCGGCCAATATACTCGTAAAGGAGGTTGTAAAACTGCGCAAGTAAAAAGGTCGCATATTTTACCCCCGTTACAGGTTTTATGATCAAACTTTGACCTTAGGCCTCATTTTTTTTATAGTCTGAAAGTATTGTATGAAACAAATTATTATAAGGCGATATCTGTATTTAATTTAAAAAAATTTTTAAAGGGCGGCTAAAATGGTGTCAAAAAAATCGAGACCAAATTAAAATGGACGCTATAGCAAAACAAAGAGCTGAAAAAGATTTCACTAAATTTTGGAAGTCCACCAGTAAGCTTGATATTAAGCCTGGCCTCCCTGCGAATGTAGACGGCCGGAATGACCCGGAGGACATAGCGAATTTATTCATGGAGCACTTTAAAGTGCGTTCTCCACTGGGTCCTTCGACCACTATGCCAGATGACGGGTCCATCGTGTCGGGTAAGGAGCCTTTACTTAAATTTACAGCGAAGCAACTGAAAAAAGTTATAAGTACTATGCGTAGAGGTAAATCTCCTGGTCACGATGGGCTCAGTATTGAGCACTTCAAATATGCGGGCGTGCACGGGCCGAGGGTCCTGTCCATGTTCTTCAATTTATGCATTAGTCATTCATACTTACCGGACGAATTGATGAAAACTATAGTGGTGCCCATTTTGAAGAACAGGACAGGGGACATATCAGACAAGGAGAATTATCGCCCCATCTCTCTCGCCACAACAGTGGCAAAACTGTTGGATAGTGTGCTTGAGTCGTGTCTGGATAACTACATAAATATACATGACGCTCAGTTCGGGTTTAGGCCTGGACTGTCAACTGAAAGCGCGATCCTGGCACTTAAGCACACTGTCCAGTACTATACTGAACGGAAGACCCCGGTGTATGCCTGTTTCTTGGATCTCTCCAAGGCCTTCGATCTCGTTTCATATGAAGTGCTTTGGGGGAAGCTGGGGGATGGGGGTATACCTGCGGAACTATTGAAACTGTTTCAATACTGGTACTCGAATCAGACTAACTGTGTCAGGTGGTCAAACTGTCTTTCAAAGTCGTACAGGTTGGAGTGCGGGGTGAGACAGGGGGGATTGTCTTCTCCAAAGCTGTTTAACTTGTACATAAATGACCTCATAGTCGGGCTCAGTGGCATGCGTGTCGGATGCCGGGTGGGGGGTGTCTGTGTGAACAACATCAGCTATGCGGACGATATGGTGCTGCTGGGCCCGACTGCGAGGTCAATTAGGGGGATGCTCAAAGTTTGCGAGGAATACGCCGCATCACATGGTCTTATATATAACGTAAGGAAAACACAATTCATGGTCTTTGGGGCTGCCGGCAAGTGCCCTGACTCCTTTCCTTCAATAACTTTGAATGGCTCTAGTATAAAGCAGGTAACGAAGTTCAAATATTTGGGACATATACTTGTCGACGACCTTAAGGACGATGAGGACGTGGAGAGGGAGCGCAGGGCGCTGGCGGTTCGCGGGAACATGTTGTCGCGCAGATTTTTTCGTTGTACCGATCAGGTAAAAATAACTTTGTTTAAAGCGTACTGCCAAGGCCTGTATGCGGGAAGTCTGTGGTTCAGCTGTTCGCGTGGAACGCTAGGCGCCTTGCGCGTCCAATACAATAATGTTTTCAGGATGATGTTGAAACTCCCGCGTTTCTGTAGTGCCTCGGGGATGTTTGCTCAATCGCATACAGATAGTTTTCATGCGATCATCAGAAAAAAGGTGGCATCGCTTGTGAGAAGGATCCGGGGGAGTGACAACAGCATCCTGAAAGTCATTGCCGAGGACCCGAGAGCTCCTGTACTGAGGCATCTCATGAGGAATCATTGTCCTTCTGAGGAGCCTCGTAAGTACATGACGCACTGATTTTAAAGTTGCCAAATATAATTGTAATTATTACTAATCCTAGTGTTTAAGTTTAGCATGTAAGGTACTAACAAAAGTGGATTATTTGTTGTCCGAATAAAAACCTTTATTATTATTTACATATATTTATTTAAAATTCTCTATAAATTACATTTTTAAACACTACTTATAAAATAAAAATAATATTTAAAAATATAAAAAATAGGAGCCGACCAGTAGCGGGAGCATGGTCCAAGCTACCGGTGGTTAGGGCTCCAGAGACAGAAACCTCCTCACGATACGTGCCGTTTCTAGGAGAACTGCCTTCTGTATCAGGCCCTTGATCCATCCACCTAACGCCAGCCTCCTAAGATGGATGTCGAGGCTTTTAGGGATTTATTATTATTATTAATATAATACCTATAGAAGTAACTAAGGGGATTCTATTCATTTAACAATTCTTTTTTGAGTTGGCTTTTGTAAAGCACAAAGTTATGAAGTTTGTGAAGCCAAATATAATATGCCTTGTTAAAAAACTAATTGACTAAGAAAAGTTACAATTACGTTACGCGTAATTAAAAATAATAATAATACTTAATAATAATAATCTAAGAAAAAAAAACTGACAACTTCACAATTTTTCTTAAAACCGGAAAATAAAAACCCTGACGCTTTTTGACGACATTTTCCCGCTGAAATTCAATGTAATACGCCCCCGATAATTTTACTTTTAGCACGATATTATAAATGCATGTAGACATTATTACTATTTTTATTTACCTGCTAACTAGGTTAGCAACTCCATAACTTGTAAAAACTATTTTGTGAACTTTTATTGACACTTTTATTAAGTAACCGATATGGTATCAAAAGTTGTTCTCAAGAAAAAAACTCAAAATAAAATATAATAGTTTCTCCGAGTACCTGTCCTTTGATGTTTATCGTATTGCTATAATTTTAAGTCATTTAAGCATTTTGGTGTTCATTTCTTAGAAAATTCGCGCAACACACTCATTCGTGTTTCTCAAACGCACAAGTAAATTGATAGTTGCTTTCCAAGATCTGAAACATCTCGGAAGATGAAAAATATATCCTGCTTTGTTTATTTTCGAATGTACAAAAGGCTTTTATAACCTTTATGCCATGAAGCACTATGGCACAACGGTTCATTTGTGGATACGAAGCAAAACGTAAAATTAACGCAATTCACTTTATTTTAGCGCCAAAAAGTTCAAAGGATTCGAATTTAGAACATAAATTGTATTCCATTTTAAAGTGAGGTTTCACTAAACAAAATAAAGCATGACGTTAGCGGTATGTAACCGGCCAGTATACGGGTGGCGCTTGGTCCAAAAGTTACGAAATTGAAATGTGTAAAACTTCAAATTAATTTTTAACTAGATTTATTTGTTTACGTTCTGCTAACGGTTCTTAAATTAGTTTCGAATTCATATTTATAATACTTAATTGGTTGTAGCGTATTGAATTTCAATCGAAGAAACTTGGAAACTGTAATATTCTTAGGCATTACCTGAGCGCAGGTTTATAGTTAGAGCTCATTACGCAAGTTCGTAAAGTGCAAACTATTGAGCTATTAGGAGAGTTAATGTAGCTTTTGAAACGACGACGGTGAACTTTGTTCTAAAAATGTACAATAGCATTCGGAGAAAAATAGACTAAATAAAAAAATGAAGATACAAGGATGCATCCTTCCCTAGCAGTAGACAGTTTTAGGCGGGCTTCCCCGAACTACATTACTTGCACCTTAAAATACGAAGGCGTGACTACATGTTAAGTGGAAGAGGCTAACGAAGCGTCTTCCTGAAACCCGCCCTCTTTCCCACTCCCGTACTATAAATATGACGCTGAAACATTTTCGCTTCAGTCGTTCAGGAAAGCTCGAGGTGTGCACTGTGCCAAATCATAGCATTCCCTAGTGACAACGTGATACGGGACGCGTAACACGACAACAAATATCTAATACTAATCAGTTCGCGATTGTTTTACAAACACTTTTGATTTATTCAAGTGACTTTTTGGATTGTTCAGTGAAAGCTATTGAAGTGGTGAAGATGTTGGACAAAACCATCCTCGGTGGTAGTTGGGAAAGTGTGGTAAGTAATGTTCAACGATTAAGTTGACTGACTTTAATTACGTTAAAATAAACAGTAAAATTTTGAATAGTTCACACGTTATCTGTAATGAAAGAAACAAGTCTCAGGATTACGGGACAGAGCTTAAGCAGCGGTGGTCAGCGGGGACTATTACGCAAAGTGCATGGCCACTTTAATGCGCTTAAAAGGCAACTGACTTGTCTATGGTCGCTGTCATTGAACTGTGGCGCGTGCGTGTCCGCTGTTTGAATATGGAATTACGTTCTTTTTGTGGTAAAGCTCTTGACATTGCCGCCTTCGGCCAATCTCACGGCTACTCATATTTAAAGCCGACATTATATTAATCAATGCCCAAAATCGATCTAATCAAAGCGTTTGAGATTAATTGTAAAGATTACTTCCATCAAAAGATTTTGTACGGTTCAGAAAAGGTTATCTAAGCTTTAAAAGTGACTATGATAAACTTTTACAATTTATTAATTTTTTATAGCTTTTTTATGACTAAAGTATTTTAAAGTTTTAATTATGGTTTCAATATAAACCAGGTAAATAGCCGGCTGTAGTAATTACAATGCAACCGAGTCCCTGTGTCGCTAATGGGCAGTTCCCGCAGTCCACAAAACGGGAAACGAAGCGGCCGACAAAAAAACAATTACTCTTTGTCTATGCAAAACTCTCATGCCGCCGCTGCTTTAGAAATGGAACTGTCATTTTAAAGCCATAAAACAAATTGTTGTTTCGATACATGAGATAGCGAGTGAATTATTAAATTGGGAAGCGTAAAGCTGTCATTGTGAGCAATAATAACGGAGATTAGAAAGTGATAGCTTGTCAAACAAACAATGACCTGTCAAAATTGCTGTCAAAAGTTTTTCGTTCGGATTGTCGATAGTTGTCGATATTCATAATTCGTCGACCGGTCTTAGCGAATTTCGTCAAGTTACTTTCACCATATCCGAACTGGATGGTCTGCTTAGACATTTTCGTGTTGTTGTAACAATCTAATAGCTGTCATTCGTCGCCCGCCATTCCGGTTTACGGTTTCGAAAGTCGAGAGCTGCACCGATCCCCGATAATGACAAATGACAATTTTAAAACGAGACGCATTGAAAAATGCGCTGGATATATCAACACCATTAACCACTAGTAATGCGAAGTCGGTCATGTAAAAATATGGCGATTTGTCAGCTTATACTTGTGAAATTATTTGTTTATATTTCATAAAATATTAAATAATTAAGTATCAAGTATTCGTCTGTGTCATTACAATCCCGCCTGCTATTTGCTACTTGAACATGTTGTAATTAATCAATATTTACGTGTTTCCCTATTGAAATACTTGAGAACGTAAGAGGATTACGTTTTTATTTCATTTATGATAAACAACTATGACTCGTTAAGATTATCTAGGCTTTGAACTCTTGGTAACTGTAACTTTGAGTCAACAAACTGGGGTCATTAATACTAAAGAAATTTGATGGTGCAATAGATATTAAAAAAAGTTATTACTCATCGGAAAAATCATAGTGACGAAAAAATGCGCGTGGGCAAGGTACAGTTAGTCAGTGTGGAATCATGGCGACGTCACTCTCTAATAATATGTGTCGCATCAATTAAATATTTTATCGGTTCTTAACCCTTTGGAAAACTATAACTAGGTTATATTTCAAACCGATTTAATATGCTAAACACCCACTTCATTTGAATACTGGTCGATTATAAAAGCCATATGGGATTCCAAAATTAAAATCTGCGTAGCGCACTAAGAGTTCAGATGTAATTGTGTGTTAAAGATCACGTATCTAACTGGCTGCTAAGAATAGCGGTCTATACTTGAACTGCCCCCAAAATAGACACCGTTTGCCTAATGTCGAATATGAATAGAAGAAATACCAGATTTCGCAGAGTCGATCGCGTAAATTACACATGTTGTATGTTTACGTATCGCAAACTTATGTTAAATATATCTTGCAAATACGAACACTATGTAAACATTGAAAAAATAAATTCGAGATTTATACCGTGTAAACGGGCCGCAGACGGGCTCAATTCACTTTCTTAGTCTATGGCAGTTCTTTTATCAATGAGGGCAACACTAAAAATAGAGTGCAGACTCAATAAATCGATTTAAAAGTTTTCGGTATCGATAACGGTGAGGCTAAGTAGTGTGTCGAAGAAAATTATAAAGTAAAGCTGAAGATTAAGTGGAGCCAAAACATTACATCGCATAAATTCAAGAGGAGGATATAAAAGTACGTAGCTGTAAATTAAAAAAAATACGATGTGTGCCGATTTTTTTGCTCAATGTTTGCACATACGAGTAACGGTACCAACAAAAAATGAGTAAGAAAGAAAATTAACCAGTATTATCTTGTTAACAGAGTCTGGTTTGCACTAAACGTAATGACGAAGGAATTAATCACAGTATCGTACTGATTTCTAATCTTGCTTTTCAATCGGAATACATGTGAGCAATTAATTAACTTAACTAAGTTATTAAAACGTTATAGGCACTTGTATAGTTGTGTTAAACTTGCATAATCGGTTTAATATGGATCGGTTATTGATTAAACATTGATAACTGCTTACTTTCTAATTTAATCATTCGTATAATAGTGTAATTGAATGCAGTTGAAATGTCTTCGGTAATTTGTTAAATCGGGACCGTTACTCTTGAAGATAACTGAAGGCCATTACTTCCGCAGACCTCAATTCATCATAAATGCAATAACAAACGTAATCGTACGTAATAAACACGTTGCAACGGTACAATAATAGACATTACATTGAACATTCTGATGCGTTCTCTAAAATAACCTGTGACAAAATTAACAGTGCCTTTTAGTAACGTTATCACCTTCACAACTATAATAACTTCCACAAATAACACGGAGTATGCACGTCAGGACAGAAATACTATACGCATTTTAACGCGGTATTACAAAACGGGTGCACGAAATAGGGCACTCGGGGCCCACGAGAGTAGCGTGGATACGTCACAAGCACTCACCGACCGACGATGCGTGTCTCCGTGATGGACAGTAAAAAATTACCTGAAAATGAAAACGTACAAGGTTAAACAAAATAAACCACGAAAACAAGAGGTTGTAGCCTAGATACGCGAAGCTTAATTTACAGTTTTAATTAGACCGTGTTAACTAACCCTGATAATAGGACATCTATTTAAAAATGACCCATTTTACGTTGCGACCTAAATTCGCAACAGTGCAGTATTTTTTTACACTAACCCATTAAAAAAATGTTACTCAACACGAGCTGTCAAAACACAAAGTAGCGAGTATTATTTGTCGTGTCAGTACCGATGGACATTGAAACATGAAATTTCTCTTGCTTGTTACAGTTTATTAAAAAAACACAAGAGTCCATTTGATAATAGAGTTAGACAACCCAACAAAAATAACGATTTAAGTAGGATTATTTATGCTGTAGGTGCAATACTGACATTTAAAAATGTATGCCCTAGATTTTTTTACCAAAACTTTTAGCAAGTTATATCATCTCACATAACGCTACGACACTTTCGTTGTAAGTCATTAATATTAGTTATAAAATAATATTTTATGAAAGTCACTTTTCTAGTTGTGTGCAGTCAGGTCCACAGCATTCCAATGGTTGGTTTACACCATGTTCTAATGAAGTCTATTAATAACCCGTCTATTTCTGAGTGACCCATTATTTGACCAGCTCATCTACGTCATACACTGAGATTCCAAGAAAACCATAAAAATATTACATAATAATAAGATTAAATTAAACGTCGCGTAACAAACGGCGGGAATATAACCTCAAGAGAGTTGTGCAAGCCAGCCGTTAACGTGAAAGCTTTTAATACTTCAAACGACACATTAGCAAAGCGTTTCCCGAAGGACATCTTTATAAACATATTTTTTATCGTCTGACCTTTTTCCGACCTTAGTTAATATTTCGAGTGATGTCAGAGCACTAAAAGCGTATTCCATTACAATTGGAATCGAGAGGAATGACCTTAACTCAATAAACAATTGTAAATATTACACTTTTATTGCGCTTCCTAGACAGTTCACGGTTACAGTTTAAAAATTGGTAGATTGGACATTGCCAAGTTCCTGTGGATTGAGACATATGGCGCTCACGACAGGTGGCGTCAGCCATGTGGGCACCGCGCGAAGGGCTCTGATGACGAACGAGCTGAAGACCCTATTAATAATAGAAAGGGACGGCGTTACACGCTTGCCTTACGTTGGAACAGTCACGTAGTTGTATTGATACTTTAAATAATCCGTTAGACACCAGCGACCGAGACTTGTTTATGGGACAGCCGGGAGATTAACATTGACAGTATTGTTTGTGTAAGCTATGGGTACTGATTGGTGATTTATTTCATTCCAGGTGTCGAGAGACGACTACGAGATTGACTACAACCAGAGCCCGAGAGGGTCTCCTTTGAAGGATACGTCCAACATCCAGGATGAGCCTGGCTACTGCATCAGCCGTCACAACCCGAACAAGACCTTCCGCCGTGAGTCTGTCATAGCTTCATGGAAGAGTCTGAAGAAGGAGAGGGAGCAGGCTTTGGGGAAGCGGTTCATCTATGTGGACGCTGACAGTTACCAGGATTATTACGGCAGGAACAAGGTCAAGCGTTGCAAGAGTGACAGGGCCCCTGTCGCACCAAACAAGGTGCCAAAGAAGGTCAAGCGCACATACTCTGTTCTGTACAGGTATGACCCATCTGAAGAGAAAGTAGTGAAGGAGTACAAGTATCAGCTTCCTAAGGAGAATGAGCCTATCAACCACCCAGTAATGCAGAAATCCTACTCCGAACCCTTCTTGAGGTCGGAAACTTCACCCAAGAAGAAGGTCAAGAGGTCTTTCACAACACTGTTGAACATCAAGACAAAGTTCTTAAACATTTTCACCTCGAAGAGTTAAATTGTTGTAGGGATTTAACTTGGTTTAATTGCTCAATTCAATGCATTTTATATGATTGGCGTATTACTGCGCATACAAGGTCGTAACCGCCATGATTCTAGTCGAAATTTTGCCTATCAGGTTCAATGCCGGAACCATCTATTTTGATATTGTCTGGTAAAAGTATAAACAAAATTGTAATGGAATAGATCAATCAACGTTTTTGTTGCTATTCCAAGTTGAAACAGGCAAAGATTGGATATATTATCAGATCGTAATTTGTAAGCTTTATTAAAAGATTTATTTTTGAAGTGCCAAATGTATTCATAAAATAGTAAGTTTAGTATATAATTTGTGATATTTTTCGTGTGTTGTGATATTTTTATATTTTTGAAGGATCATTGTGGTATGGTCAACATACTGCAACGGATGCTTGATAGTATTAACTGTAAAAATCTGATCAATCAGAAATAATGTTCTAAATTGCATGTAATTCTTTATATTAGCCTCTAATATATTGTTATTACCCAGCTTAGAAGTTAAAATATATACTGTTTACAACTCATTTACTATATTTTTCATAAATATAAGTAAAATGTTGTCTGTAACATAAATAATGTAACTGCTATATAAATGTAATTCTTTATATTCAGCAATAAATATTAATGTAATTACATATATATTCACATTGTTATCGTTTAAGAAAATTGCTTTGTATAATAATAATGTTATATTAATATGCCAAAGTGATTGTAATCTTGCAGTTACAAGTTTTAAAGTTGCAATATAATTCATTATATTTTAATGTAATTTTAAATATAAACGCAGTTCATTAATGTAACTTTTATAAATTATAACACTCATAAAATAACAATTCATTATATTTAATAATATAAATATAAATGTAATTGTAAAATTATAAAACTTGATATTTTAATACACAAATAATCTAATTTACATTTAATTAATGGTTTCATTCCTATCGTGTAAGAAGCTTTACTTATTTTTATTATAAGTATTTTATATATAAGTTATTTTAGTATAATAATAGGACTATGTGTCTTATTGTTAAAATTAAAAACATATCATTAAATAAGGAGGCGTAATAAATTTGTAATGAATGTGATGGTATATATGATATTGTTATGTAAACATTGTGAAAGTATTATTAATTTAGAATTAATAATTAACTATCAATTTATATTATTATCTAATAAACATTTTATATAATGCATTTATAGATATTTTATTTATTTTACACTTATATATAACTAACAAAAAATCAATTTAATAGTCAGTATAGAGCTTGGGAAGTATATAGCATGTGAAGGATGGAAATTTCAAAGTTTTCAGGATATTTTAAACAAAACTTTATGCAATATACCCGCATAAAGTATTTAACATAGTGATCGAATTTTGAAGGTCTGATTATGTTGCTTATGTATCACATATGCGGGAGATTCGACTGCTAAAACTAGGACAAAACGCAAACAATGAATAAGAAAAGAACATAACATAACATAACATCACGCCTTTTATCCCCGGAGGGGTAGGCAGAGGTGCACATTATGCCACTGTACAATGTAACACCCACTTTTCACTATTTATGTTTTGAGTCCCATGTAATAGGGGGTGAGCCTATTGCCATATACCGGGCACAATTCCAGACTCCGTGCTACTACTGAGATTTTTTTAAAAACCCAGTAATACTTTGCCCGACCCGGGAATCGAACCCGAGACCCCTTGCCCGACAGTCGCATATGCGACCATTCAGCCAACGAGGCAGTCAATAAGAAAAGAAATCTGTAATAATAGTATTTAGCTTTCAGACAGAAAAAAAAACAACTTTGCATTTAATTATATTTATTGATAAACTTTATTGTAATACAAAACAGAGCATCACTGAAATTCTTTAGTGAACATTAATACCTAATACAACTTTACTAACAATTTCAATACGATTTCAAATTTAATTATAAGAATTCAGAGAATTCAAGCTTTACTTAGATAGTTTGTAAAAGAGTTTAAGCAGTAACATGTAAAATTTACACAAGTCAAGACAAACGAACTGACAATTCCATACCCAATGAAAATTAAGTTAGGAATATAATCAAGTTATCTTATTAACAGATACAATATACATCAATGAATAATCCTAAAATCCAATTTGTTAGTCATAAAAATTAGCATTCTGGTCTAAATTGGGTACCGAGGGTATAAATTCAAATTTAGTGGCTAAGCTGGTAGGATATAGGCTAAACGAATTCAAAATTATACCAAAATATAGACTGTGGATCACAGATTAAGTAATAATTATTGTTTAATACATTTATTTATTACAGTCATCGTAACTACACTGGTAAATGTCTAAACAAATATATAGACTTTAGGTTGGTTTTTCAACAATTTTATAAATACGAAACATTAAAATCTGTGTTTTGGGAGAATGAAAAAAGGAAGGAAATTCAAATTGGGTGTTTAGTTTACCTATTATAAAATTCTATAAGTAATTCCAGTCTCATTTGGAATGGGTATATTGTTACATAGGTAATAGAACATTTAAGTCCAAATATTATATGCTAGTGTAAATTCTGTTTGTTTAATTAGACCGTTGCTTGCTGCTTGCCCCTACCGTTTACTCTTCTTTGAGGTCCAGACTGGGAGAAAATAGCTGCGGCATTAAGTTCACCTACTTGTATATTTTGTACATGAAGCTAAAATAAATAAATATTAAAAACCACAAGTCTCCTTTAAATTCTTGTTTTTTTTTAAGTCACAGAAAGCAGTTACAAATTACCTAATTCTTTCTTCAATTGACTAATTGTTATATTATATAAAATAATAATTAAAATCTAATAATACGGTATTTGACAACTAGTCAAATTTAATACTTTTTTCGAACTGTTAAAAACGACAGTTTTCTATGAATATTGTATGAGATTGTGAATTGTGACGTCACGGATTTTTAGAGTCAAACAGCATGCTTATTTCTTAAAAATTTGCTGGAAAAATGCTAAAATTAAGTTGGTCATAAAATCAATTAATGAAAGTGTGACTGTTTTATAATATTTTATTGTATTAAATAGTCGAAATAATTCATTTTTGATTAAGAAAAGTACCTAATTGTGGATGCAACAGTAATCATTAATTTTTTGCACATTTGTTGACCTCTTTTTACACATCTCTAATACGACTTCAATAATCCTGTCTCTTAATATGTAAACAAACGGTTGACAAAGCATAAAATAAAATCTTTATACGTTTACAAGGCGATTAATTAAACATTAATTAACTTGTCTGACAGCGAAGCTATTAATGTTTTAGTTCTAAGCTTGAGAATCAATTTGAGACAAAGATCAGACTGGCAGTAACCTGGAACTTTCTATAAGATTGATTCTTGGATCTGACAAAGTGCTATTTGGATATATTTTTTTGTGTGTGCGTGCTTTTTGGTAAAAAATGTTATCAGTTATAGCACGAAGTTTGGCAATGAGTACAGTATATGGCAATAGGCTGAACTCGTTCTACATTGGACTTTTTTTTAAATCATTGAATGTCTCCTCCCGCCTGGATGAGGCGAGAGAAGTGTCAGACTCTTACTGACTAAAAACCAACCCGTTCCTACTACTGCACTTCGAGCCGGAGTCCCGGTAACCCGTTAAGTTCTCCGCGGCTACGTATCGGCATCAGCCCTATTGGGCCCCATCCGTGGTGGTCTGATGGCTCTTTAAGACGCGCGCGGAACGCGACGCGCCGCACGCTCGGGTTCTACATCATCCTAGGGCACATATTTTCACATCTACCGACTTCATGTATTAAATAAAAGACAGAATGTCGAATTACTTTTACAAATCAGTTTGAGGTAAAATAGTAATCTAGCGATTCTATTCAGGTAATTGTCCGATTTGATTAGCTGTCGATAATAATCAGAGGTAATCGTAATCACATCCTCATTATGCGAAAAATATTACTAAGTTATTAATTAACAACACATTGTTGACGGAAGCGAATGTGATTATCACACCTGTTTTTCCTTAAAGGATAAAATGGATGTGAAAATCCGTTGCTCATCTCTAACCAATATTTATGCTAGTTGCATTAATTCAAATCAATTAATACGTTAGAATCGTTGGATAATACTAATTCATTAATTGAAAAACCATAAACAAAAGAAAGAAAATATTTATGTTCTATTCAGATACTTTCCATTTGTTTAACCAAAAAATAACAATAGAACTCAAGCCAGGACTTAAAAACAATTGACCTAAAAAACAAAAAAGGTCCAAAAAAATCCATGTTAATAACTCGGTCAGGTGCAAACTGGTGCCTGGTGCCTTTGGGAACACAGTCCCACTTCTGGTGGGAAATTTGAATAAACAATGAGACACGTACCCGAGTCGGATACCCCACGATTCCCCGTGTAAGGCCGATCTATGAAGGAAATTCAATTTACTTTCAATTCCCCTTGTGAAAAATCCTTCGAAATCCATATTTGTTGAAAGACGCGCCGGTTGTAAAGATGGAGTAATGTAAACTGATTTATGTTTTTTCTTGACTTTCTGATGTTAGTAATAGATCTATAGTAATGTGCCAGATATTTTAAAAATTATCTTAGATTATAAGATAAAGTTGCACTGTTTGAAATTTTATCCCTATTTACAAGTCCCATAAATAATTTTTATTCACTTTAGTCAAATAATACAAGGAATATATTTCTATATTCGTATAACAGTACAATCTCCAGTTTCTTTCGGATAAAAATCTTATACTTTTATGGACATTGCGCTAAGATAAAATTATGAGGAAATGGCCAGCATCATACCATACGCTTCTCGACTCTATAAGGCGAGCACGTACGTATTAGGAAGTGCCATAATGCATAGCCGAAAGCTATTGCAATGGGTTACAGGCCACGGTCGAGCAACGGGACCTTGAACTCTAACTGTCACTATAACTTAACTGATTTATAACTGAACTAGTAGCACTTGATTAACTTGATTGATCATCTGTTAGTTAAACTGTCAAATACCAAGCGGTCACCGGTGACCGCAACCTATTGTTTTTTAATTGTGTCTGCAAAACCGGTACTCGACGAGTTAAATTGATTGCCTCTTCATGTGTATAGCTACTTCATGTTTTGACAGTTAGAACCTTAGATTAATTGATATTTACGATATCTAATATCTATGCACGAACAACGTGCTTAGTAACGCCATCTCTCGAAACTCTGTCGAACTACAACGATGTTCTAAAACTGGAGCTGTGAATAGACTCCTGACATTGGGACTCGGGAGATCAACGGACGTGTAATTTTTTACAACCAGCCGCTTGGGAAATCCGCTTATACAGAATTTCGACACAGTTACCGTTAAATAAACAAAATAATCCAATTTAAAACACAACTACGTGTCTAATAAAATAAACCTGACAACATATTAACCATAAATCTGAACGGATTTAGTGTCCAACTTTATTTTTATTTTTATTATCTTTTAGAGACTAATATTTCATATTACGTAACTTTTTAATGATGGCTTAAAAGTCACAGTTCCATTTTTGAAAACACAAACTATAGAAATGTGCACATTAGGATTAAATACAGATTAAAAATCTAATCT